GGAATTTCTGTTGGGAAAACATCCAGGTCAGAACCCAGCCTCCCCCGGGGCACGAGGTGAGCGGGGTAACACACACGGGACGACACAAACCGATGCACAGTCACACACGGGGGAATGAGCTGCTCGGGGATGGGCAGATGAGACCTTCCTGCCATGGAACATTCGTGTTCAGGGCCTGGGAAACTAAAGAGGGACAGAAACACATCAAGAAAAGGGAAAAAAAGGAAGAGGGGAAAAAAGAGAGAAAAAGAGAGAGAGAAAAAGAGAAGTGAAAAAAGAGAGGAGAAAAAAGAAAGAGAAAAAAGAAGAAAGATAAAAAAGAAAGAAAAAAGATAAAAAAGAAAAAACAGAAAAAAGAAAAGAAAAAAGATTAAAAAAGAGAAAAAAGGAAAAGAGAAAAAAGAAAAAGAAAGAAAAAGAAAGAAAAAGAAAGAAAAAGAAAGAAAAAGAAAAAAGAAAAAGAAAGAAAAAGAAAAAGAAAAAGAAAAAGAAAAAGAAAGAAAAAGAAAGAAACAGAAAGAAAAAGAAAGAAAAAGAAAGAAAAAGAAAGAAAAAGAAAGAAAAAGGGAAAAAAGAAAAAAAAGAGGAAAGAGAGAGAAAAAGAAAAGAGAGAGGAAAAGAAAAAACCAGGCCTGTCTGGTGCACCCAGAGGGGTGAAGAGCCCCCACCCCAGTGCTGGGGAGCTTGAGGCTTTTGGGGAGCTCCTGGGGCGAGGGGCTGAGCTCAGCTGTACAACACCCACTGGGGAGCAGCCGGGGCAGCAGCTTCAAGCTCTGCCTCGTGCTCAGACTCTGAGCGCCTGGAGCAAGAAATTGAGCAAAAGGTGATGAATTTCATCCTCGTGCTCAGCACATCAGCGGCACCGCAGCGAGGAGCTGGGGGGAACCACTGCTGGGTCAAGGCGAGATGCTGGTGGCTGGGCAGGGGGCACCTGGCACCGGGCTTTGGAGATAAGGAGGACACAGAGATGAGCAGATGTTGTTCTCGAGCAGCTGTGATGAAAACGGCTCTTTTAGGATTAAATATCTGCTACAGAGCAGAACTGGGGTGTGAAGCCACAATATTCAGGGCAATAAATTCAGCTACGTGCTAAATGGAGCGATACAGCTCACCTTGACTGTCACACAGGCTGGTGACTCCAGGGATAACCATCTCCTGGGCAAGAAACTGGAGAAGGCAGAAGCCAGCGCTGCACTGGGCCAGTCCAAGTCTCTGCACTGGTGAGGAGAGGCCGGGAGAACGAGCTCGACCCAGCGCTGGGGAGATGCGACCTTCTCAGCACCACGCACACCTCTGCTCTCCGTTCCCTTCGTTAGGAGATGAGAACAACGGCAGCACCTTTGGCAAAAGCTCATAGAATGAATCACAGAATCCCAGACTGGTTTGGGTTGGAAGGGACCTTAAAGCTCATCCAGTCCCAACCCCCCTGCCAGCAGCAGGGACACCTTCCACTAGACCAGGTTGCTCAAAGCCTCATCCAGCCTGGCCTTCAACACCTCCAGGGAGGGGGCATCCATAACTTCCCTGGGCAACCACGCTCACGCCTGACCGTGTTCCCCATCTTGGTACCAATTTCTGGTGGCACCAGGTAAGTCACACAACCCCAGTGGGCTCAACGCCTCCATAAGCCACTGACCTGCACCCCACACCAGCTCCAGTCTGCTGAGGAGTGAAGATTCGCTCCCGGCTTGTGCCGTGAAGGCTGGAGTGAGTGCGGTGACCCCGCCGCACAGGGAAGGGGGTTGAAGGAGGGGGCTTACTCACTACTCAGCTCCAAAGACAGAAGCCAGCACTTCAGGCACCTGTAAGAGTAGGAAGCACAGTGTGCCACTCTCACACTGGGCCCCAGTGCAGAGGATGAGCTTCAGCCATCAACTTTTAAGGAAAAACCAACGTGTGGTGGGAGATTTTGGAGGAAAAATCAAGATTTCAGCATTTCCCTCTGCCAGAGAGAACTCTGGTTACCTAGGAACAGACACACTTCTCTGATGAGACCAGTTCTTCTCATCAAGCACAGGATGAGCGTTTATTGTCTTGTGATCAGGAGAAAAAACACAAAACCAAAAAGCAGAGCTCCACAAGCGACGTGAAACACCGCGCACGTACAGGCCACAGGACGCCCAACAACAGCGGGAACCAGGTCCGGGTTCAGGGTGTTCAGAAATCTTAGAAATCTCATGTAAACATTTAAAAAACATACAGAGGAGTTAAAAAAAATATATAAGCCAGGGTAGTTCAGGCAGCACGTTGAGTCAACTTTCTGGAATTACGGTTTCTGGCGTGGCAGAGGATGGAGTGAGGGGTGAGATGGGGGATCCCAGCCCCACAGCGTCGTTTAAGCTCTGTAGAGATCTTGGGCAGCGACTGGGGTGTGATTTTGGTGTCAGGCTCTAACCATTTAGGTGAGCAGGCCAGTACCCCCTGTCCTCACATCAAGCATTTCCCATGTGACTGAATGGGGGTGCTTCAAAAACAGCCCCCCCAGATTATCTGAGAGAGGGGAAAAAAAGGAAAATAAAAAGAAAAGAGAGAAGCGGGGCATGGAGAGCCCAGCGATGCTGCTCCTCGTGGTTCCTCCGAGATCCCCAACCTGACACACTCAACAAAAGACAAACCCCAATCGCTTTTGGAAAATTGGCAAGAAGCTGAGGATGGTGAGGGGCAGGGCTGGAGGGAGCGCGGGCCACGGGGGCACCAAACCTCACGTCCAGCCCCGGTAACCTCCCCCTAGTGCAATCGTATTTCCAGGGAGTTCATCGACAGGAGGTTCTTTTATCACTCTCTGATGGCAAGCGACAAAGAACACTTAAAATTACACTTGACACAAGACAAAGGCACCTAAAAGCTCACTCTGTAAGAAGGCTTCAAGCAATCCTACTGACAAGCACATTGCACGCTCACGAGAAAAAAACCCCTCGTGTTGGGAGGACGTGAAATACCCCAGAGCCAGCAGGGGCTGGGGGGCTGCGGGGCGTCGGTGTTGCTTGTAAACAGCACTTCAGGGAGGCTCTGCCCTCTGATCCACGTTTGCTTTCGCTTTGGCCCTGGTAACAAAGGTGTGGGGCAGACTCCAGGCTGTACTTCACTTCGTATTTACAGGATGATGCAGAAGTTAATCGAGCAAATGGGCAGCTCTGCAGGGGCGATGGGGAAGGAAGAGTTCTCCTTCATCAACTATTATTTAGTAGATAAGGCACATGTAGAGACAGTTTTCAGAAGATCACTTGCAAATCAATTCCACCTAGCTAGGACAACCTCCCTGTCCCTTTCCAGGAGCCAATTTTGTTTTCCAGTTACTCAGTGTGAATTTGGAGTGACTCCACTTACACTGTGACACCTCTGGCACCCCACCCACCAGGTGTCTGACCCACAGGGTGCCCAACACCTCCCAAGTCTCCACACTGGAGCACTCCATCCTTCACAGGATCGTTGTCTAAAAATTTCAGAGCTGAAGACTTTGAATACTCACTCCTTAGAAAAATATTTGGAACTGACCTCCCAGTTTTGACAGGTTTGAAAAAAAAATTCACAGCGGGCTGTTGAGGGAGAAGAAAAACCTGCAGCCTTTGCTGCTCGTATCGCTGTAGGACACGGGGGAATGGGATGGCTCAGGCTACAGGAGCCCTGATGTGCACACACAGAACAGGAGATGAACGACGAGACGGATGGCAGCTCTCAGGCAAAACAATCCCTCCCAACAGCTTTATCCTCCCTTTAGCCAATTCTTGGAGAAAGGCAAAAATCTCTCTCTCTCTGCTTGTACACAGGAGGAAAGTGCTGCTGGCTCCACAGACACAGAGCTGACATCACTCACGACTGACAAGCTTCCCTTGGTCTACCAGACCCCACTGCGTAACGTTTGGACTTCAACTGCATCAGAAGAAGGTAGAATTAAAACGATTCCTTGTAACAGAATTACTCCCAAACCACGCTGGGGCCCCAGCACTCAGATCAATAGTTATCTTGCATCCGGCTACTGGCTGGGAGCCCAGAAAAAAGGGTGTCCCCAAGAGGGCAAGCTGCGTCCCATAGGGCACGTCTGGGATCAGCACAAAACCTGGATGCTGTGTAAGTGGAAGTTAAATGGTGTAAAGATCTGGTGCTGCCTCCCTGGAACGGGGTGAACATCCCCCAGGTAGCCAGGTCCAAAGCCCAATGTCAGCAAGCTGAAAATAATTTCCAGTGGGCTTTGAATCAGGCTTTTAGCAAGCAATTGTTATCTAAATGAGATGAATCTGCAACCTCTGAAGCACACAGATCCAGCAAAAAACTTCTGGCAGCAGGGAAAGCAAGACTTGTAGCACAACTATAGTCCTAGCCAAAAAATGAGGAGTCTTGTGGACTTCACAGCTAAACAACACTCACCCACAGCAAGCACCGGTCTCTAAAGGATTCTTCACCAGAGAGCGCAAGCAAATGAGGTTGTAGATTTTACAAATCCCTTCGATATCACTAGTACCAAATAATTTAGGTGTTGCATTTCCCTTAAGAGTGAAAAATTCCAGATTATTCATCCGGGAAAGTAAACATCAGTTGCTGCTGACGCTCCGACTGCGTTCCTTACAGTGACGGACGACTTGGCAGCGTGCTGTGCAGCTGATGGAAACGAAGCAGGGAGGCAGGAGAAGGAGGAATCTTGGTTAGTGTTTGTGGTGGGGAAATCAGCTTTTTTCACACATGGTCATGAGAGGATTCCCTCGAGCAAGGGCAGTGAATGGGTTTGGTTCCTCAATCTGCAACGAGGCAAATACTGGTAACTCAAGGCAAACAAAAAAATAACCCACGTTCTGATAAGGCCGTGCAGAGCTCCGGAGGTGGCGAGGGCTGACAGCACGTATCTTCTGCAGTGATGAGGAGACAAAAACCAAAACAAAAAGTCCCCAAGGTGACCAGGGTGCTTGGGGTGAGGGGAGGGGGGGGGAATGCAAATGATCTTTTCAAATAACAATAATAAAAAGATCAAAAAGAAGAGAATCCAGGCAGTTTGCAGCTGGGGCTGCTTAAGGCCATTGGTTTCCCGGGGGATAGTTGGGAACTGTGGGATACTCTGGCAGGCTGTTCCCAGAAAAATTGCTGTACTGGGCCTCCCTGCTGGGGGGGTTCCTCCACGCGCCGCTGTGCCACTCGTCCTGGGCTTTCTGAAAGCTTCCACCAGCCCCTCGGTAGATTTTATGTACCTAGTGGAGGAACAAGAGAGAACAACAGTCGCTGTGGTACCGCATCGTGTGTTTGTTTCTCTCTCTTTGTATTTCCAAGGAACAAAAGTACTAAAAATGTAATAATAGAGCGAGCAGAGGGGCAAATAGATAACACCAACCCAAGACCTGAACCTGTTTCAGGTTGGGGATCCCCACAGCAAGGCAGCCAACCCAGGCCAGCGGGCTGAAACCCCTGTAAAACTGACACTGCTGCTTCAGCAGGGCTCCTGTCTTCTCTCCTCCTCTGCCATCAGCCTACCAAAGCTTTCCAGACACTCCTACCTCCAAATCCTTCTTTCTGCAGAGAACCAAGGACCACTCCCCACCCTGCCACCCAGTCCCCACTGCAGGCCACCTTGAGATCCTTCACCTTTACCATCAATAACCATCCCAGTGAGCAAGGAAGCTTGCTTCGAGTGACGTAAAGGAACATTGCTCCATGAAACGGTGACAACATCCAGCCCCAGCTGTCTTGTGTTATCTGGATTTGTCCTCTAGATACTCTGAGAGACACCAACTGACTGCAGTATGAAACCTCTAAAAGCAGGGATGGCTCACAGTGGCTGTTAAACTGCCTGTTCACATTATTGTGATACAAAATGTGGATACTCCAAGTCAGAGAGACATCCGAGGCACCTACCCTTAAAATGCAGATGAGCATTGCGACCGCTGACATTGTAAACATAATGGCAGGGAACAGCATGAACACAGCAGCTGCCACGTTGGTGCTGAAGAAAGTAATGGCTGCCAACCACCCGCTGGAAGAAACAGAGAAACAAGATCATTATAGCTCTCTTTTTAAAGTGTACTTATTATCAGAAAAAACCCTGTTTACTCATACCCAGAAATTACAAGGCAGCTTTAAAGCTCTTGGAAATTAAAAAGAACAATGGAGAAAATGGACAGAATTAAATGCAGGTCAGGGAGGTATTTCCTCAAGATCTCAAATCTTGCTTGCCAGCATCCCTTGCTAATCCAGTCTCAGACATTGAGGGGACAGCCAGCTGTACAGACTTTGGGAAGAGAAGATTTATTCCCAAGGTGCTTCTAGTTGTGCAGAGGTCGTATGTCTACAAACCAGATCTGGGAACAGGGAACACAAGGGTTTTATGATTCACACCGCAACTCTATTCCCTTGGTGGCAATAACCAGGTAGGGCAACTGGAGAGCATCAGCAGTTACGAAAACAAAATGCTCTATGGAGTGCTAAGACTTTCCATTATTTGTCATTTCAGCAGAAGTTGCTCTCAAGTCTCTAGAGACAGAAAGTTAAAATGCCAAACAATTATAACCCAACCAGGGACAGACACTAAAACGCTCCCATTTATTTTAGGACGACTCTCACAATGCTTGCTCTATAGGCCAACAGTGAGTCATCGTGCCCTGCTCACCATGTGCTGCAAATAATTTGAGAGCAACGCTAAGACAGGATCAGATGAAATCTTGAAACTGGCTGGTTAAAGTGGAAGAAGAAATAGATATTGTAGGAAGGTGTTAAAAAGAACAAGCAGGTGAAAATACCCGACTTCTGCCAACAGAGCAATGAAAACAGAACTGTGTACTCCGGGAGCAGATATAATTATGCCACAGAGGAAAAGACAAAGCTTCTTCTTCCACTCCACCCTGCACAGACTCCCACCAGCTTCTCAAAAGTCCATGGAAACTGCCCATAGCCCGTAACTCAGGCACAGGAGCTGAGTGTTCAGCTGGTAAGGTTGTAGGAACATCCTTCTTACCACGCTCCCCATCCGGAGAAACCAATCGCCTGCAGGATCGTGAGAATAAACTGGGCGCCGAAGATGAAGAAAAAGGCCATGAAATTAAACGAGCTGTCTGACCTGTGAAGGAAGAGAGGGAGTCAGAGGGAGACCAGCACCTCACGCTGCTTCACACTCATGTTTGACCCCATCACGTGGAAACCCTCAAATGTGGTATCTCAGCAGAGATCCCTCCACAGCTACGGACTTTGAAGGCTACTCATCTTTCCCTGGTAGTGAAATCACACAGATCCATGAATCATCAGCACCTAATCTCTTCCAATAAGCTTGGCTCCTGCAATTGCTCTACCAAAGTAATTGCATATATGATGACACATGAGGAGAGGCAGCTTCCTGCAGAACAGAGAGTGCCCCAGTCATTTCTCTGACCAAACAACTGCAGACAGCACAGCCTGACACCTGGGCAGCTCAGCCACGGGCAAGGAGGCACAAGGGGACCTGAAGACTGGCAGGCAGAGTTTGCCTGTACACTAAAAGTGAATGCAGAGCATGAGAATTCCAGCTGGGAATGTCTCAGAGGCTGCTCAGCATCACGCTTACAGCCCATGGTTAATAATCCAGCACTGGGACATAACAGGAGGAAAAACAGCCACAAGAGAAGCGGGTGGGAACCCATCCAGGGAAACGCAGAAACAGGCTTCTCATCTTCAGGATGTACAGATGGGAGGGTCCTGAGGATGTGAGGTCCTTTCATTTATGCAGGTATAGCAGACAGCATGAATATTGATCCCAAAGCTGACCAGGTATGTTCATGGTCTCTCTGTCATGGGTGCACTGGGGCACAGCGCTGTCCTGCCCACAGAACTGCAGCAGAACCTCTTCATCCCATTAAACCAGCTGCGTCGATGAGCCAGCCTTCCATTGTGAGCCCAGGCACATCTAGAACTCCCCAAACTCTCATTTTTCATGACACAAATCATTCCCATTCTCTCAGGAACTCAAAGGGCCCAGGATTTACAGAGCAGATTTACAAAAACCACTTCAGTTGCTTAGGAGGCAGCTTAGTGGAAGGGGGAGTTTACAAAAGCATCCCTCATTCCCAGCTCCTGCTCAAAGCCTGAAAGTATTTAAATGTTTGTTATTTGAATTATGAATATTTTAATGTTTATTAGTATTACAATTCCAGCCTCTGATGCCTAAAGAGGAGATGAGAGAGGCAGGACCCTGGCTAGTCTGAGACAAGTAGAAAAGCCTCCAGCCAAACCCCCGCCGCTCTGAGCTGCGGGTGTTGGTACCGTTATCTTCCATCTTTCAAAAGGTGGCCACAGAGATGCTGTGAAAGAAATTTGCCATCCCTGAGTATCCTCATGATCCCACCCTTCAAACATCACCTCAGAGTACAGCAATGTGAAAGAAATACTTTAAACACGGGCTGTTCTCATAATCCAGTTAACAAGGATTAGGCTCGAGGCTGAGCCTTCAAACAGACTCTTGCAGCTACAAGCTGAAAGGGCTGGAGGAGTCTTCATTTGAAAGGATCTTTGGGAATTAATGAGGATACACAGAAAAGGTGATTTCTGATCCAGCTTTCTTCTGCAGATTTGCAACAGCTCTGCCCTAGTGCCAGAGCTCTGCAGCTCATTTCACTTTGGATGCCCAAGTATGACGAGGGTTTGACGAAAGCCCCTCGCGGTACGTGACGCCAATATTGAAGAGTTGCCTTTTCCCAGAACAAGCACAGCCAGTGGGTCTGACCTGGTTTCCTTAAATCACGACTAGCTGCCATCCCCCATGAAACAGCCCTGCCCCACTGCAATGTTTTTCAAGCCTCTTCTACAACTGATGTCAAAGTCAAAGATCTCTGGGCTTCCCACTCTGTCCCTCGGGCTTATTCTCTTTTTAACTGCACAAGTCTTTACACAGAGTAACCTCGGGGACCTTTCAGTATTCAGTTGCATAAACACATACAAACAACATGAAAGAAATAATTAGAAACGGTCCCTTGTGAAGCCCAGAGGAGGTCAAGGGGGAGGAGTTATTCTTCCCAGACTTCAGAATGGAAACTGCTCTTTGAACAGAGCTCCAGCCGCCACTTGGAGACCTCTGAGCTTCTGAACCAGGGCTGGGGACAGAACCCCACACCTAGAGAGCAAGAGTTCACAGCTGGTATTTTCATGTCTTTTCAAACTTTCAGATTAATCCAACTCAGTGGCCTTCCCCTTCCCTTTCAGAGCTTCTTTCAGCTCTGAGGAGAAGGACTTGGGAGTGG